AAGCTGAAGACTGGCATGGGGTTTTTCCATTTTCTTCCTTGGGCAAAGAGAGACAGGAAAGAAGGTGCAGCTGGGCAGCAGAGTAAAAGAAAGATGCCTGGTGGGCCTTCCAAGCAGTACCCAGTCTGGGCCAGGACCGCAGTCACCAGCTGTGAGTGGAGCTCTGGGCAGGGATGGATGGTGGTGGGACTGGCAGAAGTAAGGCAGAGCGAATGTCCTTCCAGTTTCCTGCTTACCACGTTTCTTCTGTTGTTGGAAAGAACTGCTTACTGGACAAGGTGTGGAAAGTCTCTGCTCACACCTAGCGGATGGCAGGTTCTGGTATGTTCCCATCCCAGCGTCCCCCACCCCAACTACCTTTTCTGAGCCTTGGAAGTAGGGGTAATTTGGGATAAATATTGCTAGATTGTCACTGAGCACAGTACACATAAGTAGAAATTTTAAAAATTCTGCTCTCTCACTCTGCTCAAGCTCTTTCTGTTGTCCTGCCCGACTCTAGGAGCTCCTTTATTGGGAAGGGCCCCTCTCCCTTCCTGAACTCCTGGACCATCTCATATTACCAGCCTGCGCCCATCAGATGCTGGCCTGTGTGCTTGGCTATTGTGCTTTGTCCCATTTCTCTTAGAAATGTGTGTGCTCCCCAGAGGGGGCAGCGGAGCTTTGGCTCTGTTCCACACACAGAGTGGAGCATTAACTTTCCGCTGGGCATAGCACAGGCTCTGTCAACACTCAGTTCCTGGGTGAGTACCTTGGCACCTGGGATGGGATGAGGGCGATGCAGGCTCCTGGCTGGGAAATGCTCTGGGGCAGCATGGCATGGGCCACAGCCAGCTGCCCTCTGGACTGTGTAGCCCTGCTGCGGCTGGCTCAGTGCCTTGTTAGTACAAAGCAAGGGTGACATCAGTATGAGCAAGGTTACTTTAGGGCAAAAGGAAGGTCAGGGAGAGGGGGCTGGTTGCTTGCTGGCTTCCTTGGCAGCAAGAGTGGGGACAAAGGAGGTGAGAATGGCTGGGACTTTCTCTTACACCCATGGAGGGCAGAGAGACAGAACTCTGCAGGACAGCTGGGACCTCCCTTTGGATACTCTTGGCCTCTCTGTGACTACAAGGGCAGAGCTGGGTGAGTCCCCTTCTGTCCTCAGTTTGGCCCAGAAGCTGAGTCAGGACAGGGACTTTCAGCTTATTCACTGTCAATTGTGACATAGGGCCTGGATCTGCCTGAGGGCTTGGTGTGGCTGACTCTTCAGGCTGGGGAAAGGTTCCTAGCAGGACTCCAGAGGAGGATGGCAGAGGCTGAGGTCTGGAAAAAGCCATCCTTGCTAGGTCAGGCCACTGTGGAAATCTCTGGCCCTGGGTCTGTGCTAAAATTTTTGTCCTCAGGTCCCACCTGCTTAGGCTGCCACCCCCAGCTCACAGCCAGTCCCTGAGACATTAACTGTCCCAAGCACACTCACTCTGATCTGCAGAGCTGTCACCAGATCCCAGGGATAGTCCAGTAGAGGCTTCTCCTCTAGTTCACATCCTGTGCCTGCCAACAGGGCTTGTACACATGCACACTCACACACTTCTGCTCTGTGTACAGCAGGGAGAAGAACTGGAGTGAGAGGGAAAGGAGGGGAGGCTCTGTGCACAGGGACACACATCTGGCCACCTGGTAGGGCAAGCATGCTGGTCCCTTCTGAGTCAGAGCCGCGCAGCAGGAGATCCTGCGTGCCCTCCCTCCAGCCTGGGGTACAAGGGCAATGGAGCTAGATGCAGAGGTCTTCATCGGTGAAGTGTCACCCTAGACAGAATCTCCCTTAAGTGAGCTTCTGAAGCGTCACCCACTTTTCTCCACACCTAATCCCAATGGCCCCTTGGGATTTTATATCATCACCTCCTCCAGGAAGTCTTCCCTGCTTCTCCCAGGCTGTTCTGGCCTATGCCTTCCCTCTGGAGTCTATGGTGCTGTGTTGAGCTCTAGCAGTGGGAGACATAGAGAGCTCCTCCATGGTGGGGAGTCCAAGGGAAGCTCCTAGGACCTCAGCTCTGACCCTGAGCCTGGGACCATGGGGTGGTCCATAAACACATGCTGAAGCCAAGTGTGGTGGCACACACGTGTAATCCCAGCACTCGGGAGGCTGGGGCAGGAGGGTTGCCATGAGTTCAAGACCAGCCTGCACTACATAGTGAGACCCTGTCTCAAAACAACAACAACAACAAAAAACCCAAGTATTGAATGAGTGAACTCCATGTTCATGAGGGCAGAGGCCCCAGGGCTCATTTTTCCCCATCTCCTCTGAGTGCCAGTGGTGTCCAGACAGGCTGCAGGACGGCAGATTAGCATGGGCCCTGGCCCGGACCAGGAGGAGCGGGAGTCCACTTGTACCATCTCTCTGGGCTCCTGCTGCCTGGGACTCAGCTTGGACCCTGCAACAGGGCAGACTGGCTGGGGTCCTGCTAGGACATGAGCAGGTACTGGCTTCCCTTTCTCCCTCCCCAAGTTACCCAATCTCATGGGAAAGCCTGATGGGTCCACGGTTGTGAGGACAGTTTCTGCAGCTCTGCCTCCTGCCCAGCACCACCACGCCATGCGCAGTGTGGGTGGGCAGGTATGTGAGGCTGCTTGCACAACAGTGTGCCTCAGTGGGCATGTTTACTCAAGCCAAACGACAGCACCATGGCTGGAAAGTTTTCTGAGATAAATGTTTTATACTATACACTTCACCCATTTAAGTCACATAACTTAATGGCTTTTAGCATAGTTATTGGATGCTCACCACAATCAATTTTAAACCCCCCTGCCTGCCTTGTGTGCCTTAGCTATTATCTCCTCTCCTCCCTGATCCCTCCCAGATCTGAGCAACAAACAATCTGCTTTCTGTCTCTATAAAATTTCCTACTCTGTACATTTCATATAGATAGAACTATGTAATATGTGGTCCTTTGCAACTGGCTTTTTTCACTTAGAATTCTGTTTTCAAGGTTCATTATGTTGTAGGACTGCCAGTACTTTTTTTTTTTTTTTTTTTTTCAGTACTGGGGATTGAATCTAGGGCCTTCACCCAGAGCTATAGCCCCAGGCCTTTTTGCTTTTTATTTTGAGACATCATGTCTCCCAGGTGGAACTGGACCTTGTGATCTTCCTATTGCAGATTGCTGAAGTGGTGGGGCCATTTGCAGCTTCCACTCTTTTTGTGCTCTGCTGTGGTTATATCACGTATTTACCCATCAGTCAGTGGATGGATGTTTCCACTGTTTGCACTTTTGCTATTAAAAATAAGGGCTAAGTTTGTGTGTGTGCACACACCTATTTCCACACTCATGTATAATGTAAGAGAGTGATCACTGGGCATATTTTAAAAGGGAAAGAGGAGTAGAACCAAAAGTTGTGAAGACAGAGCATGTTTAGAAATCTGTAGGAGTTACTGCTGCTTGACCTTGTAATGAGATCAAGTATAGGAATCAGTACGAATGGAATCTCAGAGTTCAGGCTGGAAGAGCACATTCGGAATAAAACCATGGGCAGCTCATGTGCTGATTATCTTGACGCATTATTAAACATTTACAACAATCTGCCAAAACAAATATTATCCACATTTTTCAGACAAGGAGATTGAAGTTCACAAAACAAATTAAACTGCCAGTGGTTACCTGGTGTCAGTAAATTTCAGCAGCAGGATCTCACCCTAATATTTTCCCGGTCTTCCATAATATAGTTTTACATTGTTGAGATCACATAACGATATTTCTATATCCTCATATGTAAACAACAACATAGTTTGAACATATTCAATATAACTAGAAATGCTTCTTAAGCAATATACTTTTTCCCCAAAGTGTTCAGGTGGAAGCCAGGGGCTTGCACTTGCTGAGTAAGTGCTCTACCCTGAAACTACTCCACAATCCATCAGGATTGAACAGTATGTAAACAGCATACTGAAACAGTATGTAAACAGCATATAAACATACATGTATGTATTCAATAGACTATGATATAGCTATATCGTAATCTACCATTATTGATCATTTATAGTATTTTTATTACATTATTTGAAAATATTATATATAAAGTTGTGGTGAATATGTTTGTGAATCAGTTTATCCCGCCACCAGTAGTAAAGGTTTATCTCAGCCCTCTGGACGTGGTGGTGCATTCCTGTAATCCCAGCACTGATAACTGCGAGTTTAAGGCCAGCCTGGACGCAATAGCCCCGTCTCAAAAAAGAAAAAAGGTTTATCTCATCTGAATGTGGTGGCACACGCCGTAATCCCTGCTGAAGCAGGAGGATAAGTTTGAGCTTAGTTTCGGCAGTTTTAGTGACTTTGCAAAACCCTGTCTCGAATAAAAAGGGGCTGGGAATGTAGCTCTCTGAGAAGAGACTGGCTTCAGTCTTCAGTGTCACAAAAAGAAAAAAAAAAGCTTGCTCGTCGCATCCTCTCCAGCACTCCACGACTACCTTGGCAAGTCTTCGGCAGCACCAGCTACCTATCATCTTCCTTCCTCAGGAGCGTCGCGCCTCGAGTGCCCGGGGCCGAGCCGTGGGGTGCGCGCGTGCCGGCGCTCACATCGTCCGCGCGGGGCTGGGGGGCGGGGCCGCGGCCCCAGTCCCCGCGCCTGGGCGCCGGCCTCCCGCAGGCATCCGGGAGGAAGGGCGGCCTCCCTCCCACGTGTCTGGGAGTGGGACGCGGTTCCCGTGCAATCTCTCCCGGCTCACCCCGGGCCCTGGGCGCAGGTGGAGGGGTGGGCCTGCAAGCGGCCCCGGCCCATCCGGACGGTCCTGCACGGAGACCCCAGAGCGCCCGGCCCAGGGCTCGGCCACAGCCGGAGCCGGGGTCTGAAGTAGACAAGAAAAGAGGGGAGGGGAGCGAGGAGCGGCGGCGGAGGGAACAGCAGATTGCTCCGAACCAATGGCAGCGGCAGGACGAGGTGGCACCAAATTCCCCTCGGCCAATGGCAGGCCGCAGCTTTCCCGAGTCATTAGCATTTCCCCGCTGGCAGGGGCCGCGGCGCGGGGGTTGGGGCTGCAGCATCCCGGCTCCGATCGCCCGCCGCGCTCCCGGCTCGCGATCCCTCCCTCTCCCGCCCTCGCCTGCACGCGGGCTGCCCGGCCGCTCCGCACACTTTGCCCCTTCTTGGCAGCGGATAAAAGAGGTCTGAGGAAATACGGATCGGCCGACCGCTGCCAGCGCTGCCCTTTAAATCCCCGGCCCCAGGACCCGCGCACCGCAGGCAGGCCCGGAGCCCGGCCGCGTGCGAGGCGCAGCAGGCTTGGCGCGCGGCTCCACCGGATCGCCTCGCAGAAGCGGCCGGAACCGAAGTCCACTCTCGGCTCCCAGGTACCACTTTCCGCAGCCCCAGCCCGGGGGACGTGAGCCTAGCAACCGAGAGCCGAGATGCCAGCCCACATGCTGCAGGAGGTGAGCTCCCCGGGACCGGCCCGCCGCGCGGCAGCAGGCCGGGCTGCGCTTCTGAGGACGGGCGTGGGGGCGAGTCGGGGGCGCTGGCGAGTACTTAGGCGTCTTCCCTGCTGTTCTGCCGCGGTGGGGTATGGATTGTAACCGGGAGGGCTGATTCCCCAACACTCACTTCTTGAGGATTTTCTTTTTTTGTTTTAGTTTTTTTTGAGACAGGGTCTCACTATGTAGTCCTGATTGGCCTTGAACTCACACACTATGTAGCCCAGACTGTTCTTGAACTCACGGCGATCTTCCTGCCTCAGCCTCCTGAGTACTGGGATCACAGGCATGCACTGCCACACCCGGCTCTTAAGGTTTAAAGTACAGAAAAATGCGGTAGCGCCTGGACCTTTTTGTATGCACACGGGGTTTCCTTTGTGTGTTGCAAAGAGTGCAAGGGTTTCACCCTCTCTCCTGCCTCTTCACCTTAAGATTTCACTCCTATTCTCTGCACAGTGTCTGCAGAGTTCCTTCTGCTCCAGCTCAGGGTGCACCTCACTCCCAGGTAGCTTCTGCCCTGGGCGGGGCAGGGCCTTAGGGCCCCTCCCCCAGCGGCGGCGCTGAGCTGAGTCCCCTGCTGGCCCCACACTTGTTGCTCTCCCAACTCTTCCTTTCCTCCCCTTCCAGATGTCCGGCTCCTACACCACCACCACCACCATCACGGCGCCCCCGTCTGGGGGCCTGCAGAATGGGGTACAGAAGCTGGACAAGGCTCCTCAGTACATCGGAGCAGACATCCGCCCTGAAATAAAAGATGACATACACGACCCCAGCTACCAAGACGAAGAAGGCCCCCCACCCAAGCTGGAGTACGTGTGGAGAAACATCATCCTGATGGCGCTGCTGCACGTGGGAGCCCTGTACGGAATCACCCTGGTTCCCACCTGCAAGTTCTACACCATCCTGTTTGGTAAGCAGGTGCCCTTGTCCCCAGCCAGCACCCAGAGTTCTGGCTGCTGTTGATAGGGTGGGCTTCCTGGCAATGTCTTTATGGTGGGGTGGGGATGCAGGCATGTCAGGTCTGGGGGGCCCTTAACAGGAGTGTTGGGGAATGAACCCCAGGCCCTGTGCAGGCACACTGAAGTGCAAACAGAGGCTCAAGGCAGCTGCCCTTGGAAAAGCTCTGCTGACTGAGCCATTGGCAGGGTTGCCTGTCCCAGGTCAGTCTGACACAGAGAACCGGGATCCTTCCTTTGACGAATGCAGGCGTGGGCACTTGGTGCTAGGGGCATGGGCTTCACAAGCTCCATCTTGAGCCAGTCAGGGGGCAGAGTGAGGGGGAACTACCCAGGGAGGGAGATCAATGAAAGGAAGGACCACAAAGGAGGTAACCCACAAGACTACAGTATCTGATGCTGAGCGTGGTGGTGCAAGCTCGTAATCCCAGTGCTTGGGAGGCTGGGGCAGGAAGATCGTCTCGAGATCCAAGCCAGCCTGAACTATATAGCAAGACCCTGTCTCAAAACACAAGAAACACTGTATAGTGTTTTGGCCAGGCCAGGCCAGTTTGTCATGGAGGGAGATGAAGACAGCTCCTGTATGACCCAGTTGTGCGGATGTGTTGCTGTCACAGCAGGCAGGTCTCCACAGTACAGTGCAGTCAACCAAATATTCTTAGGGTCAAATTGTGGAAGTGTCTCGTTCCGCTCCCCAATTTCCTGCTCCAGTCCCTTTTTCTGGAGGCCACAGCTGCACCAAGGTCCCAGCACTTCTGTCTGTCCTTCCTACCCATACACACCCCTCCTTGGCAGGGACAGCCAGGCTGGAGAGCAGAGCCTTGAGCAGCTCTGCTAGCGAGGCAGATGGTCGCCACCTTGTCCTGACCTGCCCTTGGTGCAGCCCTGGCCAGGATCCCAGGTGTGGGGCTGAGAGCAGCAGCCCTGATGCCCTGGAGCCACACCTGTAAGCTGCTGGCTGGGGAGAAGGGGAGGGAACTCTCTAGGCCTAGGCCCCTTGCTGCCTGCTGAGATCAGTAAACAGGACACTCTGAGCATGCCTGGAGGTCTCTGCTGCGGGGTACTAGTTGTGTTAAAAAAAAAACTGGATGGTCCAGGGTTCGATGTCTTTTCATGGGCATTTTAGGTGTTATAGGCAGTAGGGTCCAGTCCCTGGAGTTCTGTCTTGGAAAACTCCTCGGAATGGAGAAGTTCCTCTTTCTCCAAAACACTGTTTTTCAGTGTTCCACATGGGGATGTCAGTTCCTTCTTTAGGATCATCTCAGCATTTCTCCTGTCTCAGCTATCTGAGGTTTTACCTTGTTTTGCAGACTCTGGAAGAGGCTGCAGGACAGAGATGCAGAGATGTCCCTGGCCGCACTGAGGGCCTGGGAGTCCCCTGCAGTCTTCTCCATAGGGCAAAGCCATGAGGTGTGGTTTTAACAGTCTTTTCCTGAGGCAGAGGGAGAATGTGTCTACCTAACTCAAGTCTTCTACTGCACGGAACTAGCATTGTGGTTCGAATGGAACCAGTGTGCCTGGGTTCTTTTCCAGTTTCCCAATTCCCCTGTTAATATAGGGTCCTAGGTACTTTAAGAGTCAACGTAGCATGAAACCAAAGGGGGTGCTTCCTTTGCCCTAGTCTAAGTGCTTCTGCTTCACCCAAAGCCTCTTTTTTTTTCTTTTCTTTTTTTTGACACAGGGACTGGCTATGTAGCTCAGGATGGCCTTAAACACACTATGTAGCCCAGGCTTCCTAGAACTGGTGGAGATCCTCCTACCTCAGCCTCCCGAGTGCTGGGTTACACGTGTATGCCACCATGCCCAGCCCAAAGCCTTTTCCTGGAGATTCCAGGGCTCTAGCCCCTGGGGCTTTCCCAGTTACAGGTGCAGCCAGATGCTGAAGATCAGAGTTATTTGTGGCTTGTCAGTCATTGGACAGCCAGGTTCTGTCAGCCACCTGGGGCCTTGAACCCAGCCAGAGGAAATGTGCCAGAACTTCCCCTGGATGGATGTGGACACTGGGGCTCTCCTGGGGATCCTGTAGGAGGGACAGGACCAGGTGCAGAGAGGGAGAGAGGAGGCTGTTTGGAAACTTATCTCCAGCTGGAAAAGCGCTTAGGACAATTTGTCACAATGTGTGGTGTTTCAACTACAAGTAAGTTCTTTGGCCACTGAGGATCTATTGTTTCCAGCTGCTCCCAAGGAATGACACATTATTAACAGTTTCCATTATGGCCTCACCCCCTGCCTCTTGGAGGCCCACCAGAGGAAGGGGCGAGTACATGCTGACGCCTTCCCGGTTAGAGAGCACAGGGTGCCTCCTGACCTTCTGGCCTGGGGGACAGTGAGGCAGGACCGTGGCCCAGCGTTGTCTGGAACTGGCTTGGGCAGAATCTGGGCTGGCAGAGGGACACAGCGAAGGAGAAACCTGGGAACTGGGCAGAGACTGTGCAGGGTGAGTGATAGGTCTGAAACATGAGCGGTGATCACAGAAAACCTAGTTTTTTTTTTTTAGTTTTACTCTGTGACCCTGGATACACATAGCATCTGTTTCCTCAACTGGGATATGCAGTACTATGAGCACCTTCCCCTGTCAAGGTGTGCAATACCTGAGAATATAAGCATCTTTGGTGAAGCTTCAGGCACTAAAATCTTGGTTTTCAGGACCAACGTTCCCTGCTCTGGCCACACTGCTTGCTGCGGTACTGAATGCTTTTGTTCCGGCTGATAAATGGCCTTAGCTCTGTGTCCCTAGTGTCTTCTACCACATAGGGCTCCTCCAACTGGTCAGTGCCCAGATTTCTCTAGCTGTCATTTTCAGAATGCCTTGCTCATGGGTTCTAAGCTCTGGCAGAGTAGTTTGGGCCCTGAACACCCTAACAAAGGTTAAAGGAGAAAGGCCCTCAGCTAGTGCCTTTTCAGACTGATGAGTGGCTCAGTGGTAAAAGCCCTGTTCCCTCTCCTCCTTTCTGCCTCCTTCATTACTGGCATTTCTAGCTTATCTCCATTTCTAGGCAGAGAAGCTGGGAGGTGATAGTATTCCCCGCCCCCAATACCAAAAGCTAGGGTTTAGGGGAAAGCAGATCCTCAGCCAAAGCACAAAGAAGACACAGACTGTGACACGAGGAGCATGTCCTCAGGAGACTTTCCCAGGTGGGCCTTGCATACTGCTGACTCCTGTGTCTTGTCCTGGCAGCATATGTGTACTACGTTGTCAGTGCCCTGGGGATCACAGCAGGAGCTCATCGCCTGTGGAGTCATCGAACTTACAAAGCGCGCCTGCCTCTGAGGGTCTTCCTGATCATTGCCAACACCATGGCCTTCCAGGTAAGAAGCTGGTGCTGCTGAGCCCACCCTATTCATGGCACGGGAGAGGGGGTCAGTGCTCAGACAGAAGTCCTATGGGGTGGCCTCTGCTTTTTCCTGTCTCCTGTGGTCACCTCAGGGGCTGTCTCAGGGCTGTGGTCCTTCAGTCCTCAGGAGCTTTCAAGTCCCGGGGATAGGAAATGGGCCATGTTCTTGAGGTACAGATTCATTTTTATCCCAAGGTGCATCTATTGCCACAGTGTGGCTGCTGTCCTTCAGCATAAGGGCCAGGTCACAAGCCAGGTGCTGAGTTTGCTTTCCTGGACAGAAAGTGGGCACTGAACTCACATCACAAGGATTCTCTTAGGAACCCCCTCGCACACACACACACACACACACACAATGGCATAGGAGGTGATGTGTCACAGATAATAACAGCAAATACCTCTGCTGCACCAGCTATGTGCCAGGTTCTGTGCTAAGCACTAGGCACAGACTAATTCTGTAAACCTTCACACCATCTTAGGAAATAAAGGCCCAATATTATTTCCATTTGAAAGATGAGAACATTGAGTCACTGAGAAGTGACACCAGTGTTGTGGTGCTATCTGGGTTGCCATTCTGGCTACATCAAATGCTAGGGTTGATTCCGACAACAAGTTTGTAAGAGACAATGAAGTGAGCAGGGGAGGACCTCTCATAGCTATTGAGCTCTAGCAATGGACAAAAGACAGCTCCTAGTTCAGGGCTTAGCATGCAGCGAGAGCAGAATAGGAAGCCAGATCAGACCCCTTTATATTGATGATGTTCCCAGAACTTAGCACCTTTACATATTTATCTATTCTCGAGCAACTTTAAACCTGAGCTTCCTAATGGTGTTCTTGTGAAGCCAAGGGAAAGAAGAGATATAGTGGTACATTTTTGAATGGAAGGAAAGAATCCCAGACACGCCCTGAAATCCACATAGGTTACCTATGGCCTTGTTATGGGGTTGGGTGAACTCAGGAGGGCACCAGGGTCGGGCTTCCCTGAGCTGCACCCGGAGACCAACACCCTTGGACCCTCAGTGCCTGCCTTACTCTCGTTGCCTGGGGAGCAGGACCCCATGAGAACCTGTCCCATGTTCCATGAGGTTCTTTCCTAATGCAGCTGAGTGCTGGATTCACCTCCATTCTCCCCCGACACAGCCTTGAGGTGCAGCAGTGCTAGTCCTGTGGCCGGGGGCTACAAGGTGCTTTTCCCTGGAAACTTCTGGGCAGGCATGTAGAGTAAGGCATCTCCTTCATGCCTCCTCTGTAGCCAGACTGTCCCCGGGGTTGCTGTGAGGCTGGGCTGACAGCAGTGAGCCCATGCAGATGCCTGGGCATTTGTCCTCCTGGAGGACGTCTCTTCAAGCCTCTGTTCTCCTTCTCTGCCCTCCAGAACGACGTGTATGAGTGGGCCCGAGACCATCGTGCCCACCACAAGTTCTCAGAAACACACGCAGACCCTCACAATTCCCGACGTGGCTTTTTCTTCTCCCACGTGGGCTGGCTGCTTGTGCGCAAACACCCAGCCGTCAAAGAGAAGGGCGGTTTGCTGGACATGTCCGACCTAAAGGCTGAGAAACTGGTGATGTTCCAGAGGAGGTGAGTGGAGGCAGGGTGGAGCTGGGATTTCTATGGCTTTGGGCACCAGAGTGGGAAACCCACCTTCTTCCTTAGGACTTATAAAACAAAAGCTGAGGAATTTATTATTGTGTCTGCATGTTTAAAATCATATAAAACCCCAGTTTTTAATATTTCATAGGCCCACATCCATAATTCATGCTCTGCTCCTTTCTCTGAGTTATCTTGATGAAATCAACCAATGCTGCAGACATTCACTGTTCTAGAGTAGAACACGGACACAATAATGAACTCAGCGGTCCTTCCCTTCAAGTCGTCTATAGCCAGTCACAGGTGCAGCGATAAGCCCAGTCCCAAATAACCACAGTGTAGGACAGAATGCTGTGTGTACCACCACAGGTTCAGCGGGAAAGGGTCTCAAAGGAGAACTCCAGGGAGGGTTTGTGGAAAAGTAGCATCAGCATGCATGCAGGGATAGAGATGGTCACGTGTGTGTGAGCAGGGGCAGTGCAAAAGGAGGAACGGTGAGTGGCAGCACGATCACAAGTGAGGCTCTTCTGCCAAAACATGGGCTCAACAGGGAAAGACCGCAAGAGAGGCTGAGGCTGTTGTGGAGAGTCCGGCATGCAGACTAGATTGGATTCACTTGCGAAAGCAGCACTGCAGGTTTCTCCGGCATGAATGAATGTGCCCAGGCAAATGTGCCGCACACAGGCTGCTCTCAGGACGAGGGTGGTGCTGTGGACACAAGGTAGAAGGTAGGGGCAGCAGGGAAGAAGTTGGCACAGGCGGTAGCAGTGGCATCGGCGTCACTGCCAAGGGGAGGCAGGCCAGTGGTTTCCTTGGGATGTTGGTGGCCAGCTCTGTGTGAGAGTGATGTGTGGGCTGGGGCCTGTGGAGGGGTCTGGCATACTCTGTGCCTCCTAGAGAAAAGCAGAGCAAAGGGAACAGAGGCAGCACACTTCCCACCCGCTCTGTGCAGAGTGGGATGAGTAAGAGACAGGAGCCTGAAGGCAGATGGGCAACAGCTCAGGCAACAGAACTGGCTGATGACTTTGTGATTTGACCAACATGGCTTTATGCTCTTGTGAAGAGGGGAATGAATCTCAAGTCAGGAGACAGGTATTCCCATCGTTCCTGCACTGCTTCCCAGCAGGTAATCACAGAGAAGTTACTGAGCACATTTACACTGCTACCTCTAAGGAAGGACGTAAGAACACTGTGGAAAAAAATCAAAAAGATTTTCCACTCTATCCCTTCATGCTGGTTTCTGCCCTTTGTGTTCTTGATGGTGGAGAAAAGACAGCTCATGCTAGTGAGAGGAGACCTCAGAGAAGCTCTGCCTGCACACTCTGCCTGCTCTTCCCATATAGGTACTACAAGCCTGGTCTCCTGTTGATGTGTTTCATCCTGCCCACGCTGGTGCCCTGGTATTGCTGGGGAGAAACTTTTCTACACAGCTTGTATGTCGCCACCTTCCTGAGGTATGCCGTGGTGCTCAATGCCACCTGGCTGGTGAACAGTGCTGCTCACCTCTTTGGATACCGCCCATATGACAAGAACATTGAGTCTCGGGAGAACATCCTGGTTTCGCTGGGAGCTGTGGGTAAGTCAGCTGTCGATCGCAAGACTACATCTGGTGTCTGGGAACAAGGGAATTTGGTTAGGAGCCACAGAATCAGAAAGACCTGCTTTTATGACTGATCCGGAGCTTAATTTTTCACTATAAAAACTAGGGAGTTAATATATTGAGAAACCCTTATGAGACTTAGGCAACCACTCTTGTGTAAAGAGGAAAGGGTGAAAGTAATACTGCTTTTGGTTTTTAAAGTTGTAAAACAGCTGAGTGTGGTGGCGCCCGCCTGTAATCCCAGCACTGGGAGGCTGAGGCAGGAGGGTTGCCACAAGTTCAAGGCCAGCCTGGGCTACATAGTGAATTCAAAGATAGCCTGAAGTACACAATGAGACCCTGTCTCAAAAATAATAATAAGTCCAGGGATATAGCTCAGTGGCACAAGTGCCTGCCTGGCAAGCGCAAGGTCCTGAGTTCAATTCCCAGTACAAAAAAAAAAATCAAAAATAATAATAATAATAAAGTTGTAAAATAATCTCAACATGCTACTGGTTATCTCTGAGCAGGTTATCTCTGTAGTCTTACTTGGGGCCAGAGATGCATAACTAGAAAAGTATGGTCATCAGGGTGACCTGTAAGCCCAGTGTTTTTGTATGTATGTATGTATGTATGTAGTGGGAATCAAACTCAGGGCCTCTTGCTTGCCAGGCAGGCACTGTGCTGCTGAGCTACATTCCTGGGCCCCAATGTTTTATATTTAAATGTGTCTTGTAAAATGTAGGAAATTATTTAAATTACTTAGTTCCGTAATCTTCAAGTATGTTACATTTATAGTATTATCATCTCCCCATTGCATTGGGCATACCATGAGTTATTATGAACTATGCCTTATTGTGTATGATGCCAGTAGGAAACACATCAGCGCAACTCTTGGTGGCACTTCCCCATTGCGTATCCTTTATTTTTCTATCTTCTTCTCCTGTTGTCTGCTAGGAACTCTCTTTCCCCCAACATTGCTTTGGGAGCCCTCTGATAAAGCAGATGGTTTCCTGAGAGGTACTATTCCAGGATCTGATGTTGACTATTCCTGAAGCCACTTCTTTCTATACTTCAAATCCCAATTAGTGTATCAAATAAAACAGTTCTACCATTTGTCTTCCCCCCATCTTCTTTCCAGATGAACACAGGCTTGGACATCCCAAGGCAGTCTTACCTGTGTAGGTCCAGGGCCTCTTCGCTTCAGTCATCAGTGCAGTTGTTCACCCAGTAACACCGAGCCAGCCACACTGCTCACAGAGTCATACCCACCATCGTAGCACCTGCTGTCTTCATGTCTTCCTTTGTACTCTCAACCTTGGTCATACTTGCTATCTTTATTTGTCTTTCAAACATCTCCTTCATCCTTCCAGGCACTTACTTCCATTGTGCATGTTTGTATTTTGACGTATTTTTAAAATAAATTACCTACACTGCATAAATCTGAGGTCTGCATAGAAGTGGGGTAATCTGGACTGAGATGTCTCCTGTGTTCATTGAACTACGGTGCTCTTTCCTACCTGTGTCCTCTGTGACCACCAGTTCAGACTCTTTGTCCCTTCTGTCACTGACTTCCACAAACATGCTTTCCTTTTACCTTGGCCATTTTCTTCTCCAGCTCTCTTTGCTTCTAGAATTACCTCCCTCACAGTCATATGCTCATCTTCTCTGACAGGGCTCACCGTCCCCCGTCTTCCTTGGGCATCTCTTGCCACCCCTGGTGCCACCTGTGACCCTCCTCTCCCCAGAGCCTGGCTGTAAAAGGCTATGTGGAAGCTATTGGCTATGGCGTGGTCCTGCGTGGTTCACACTGGACAAGCTACTGCAGGGGAGCACATTCCACAGGACTTCTTTGCTTGCTTGTTACTCATAGCATTACCACCCTGTCTTGGGTATTGTTATCTACAAAGTGTCCAACAACCTTTTTATTAGCTGTTTTTTACCCTGCTCTGATAAGGGTCAGTGTTGTTAGTATTGGAATCAATTCAGAAAGATGTGCCAAGAGTTGGCAAACACTTTCCCAATTACAGAAAATTCTCCTCTGCAGCACTATGAAACATTCATACCAGAGTTCTCAGAATCTCAGGGAATCTGTTAGGTATTTTCACAGAGGTTCTGTTTTATCAACACCTCCCCCGACTTCAGGGTCAAACTTTGGAGACTTACAAGCCAGAGGAACTCACCGTGAGCCAGTAGTGACTGAAGCCCTGCCCCTCTATGGGCCTCCTTGCCTCTGGTTTTGCCAGCTGAGGCCCATTCTCAACCTTCTACCCTTGTACGGAGCACTAATGTGGGGAAAGGAGCTCCTCCTTTGGACCCTGCTATCTGCGCCCCAACACATGTACTAGCGCCTACGGGGTCTTGGGCCAGTACTTTTGCTCTTACAATTGAAGCTCTGTTATTTCCCACTGTGAAACCCTTTCCCAGCCATATTCTCTGAGAGAAACATCCTCTCAGCAAGGTCCCCACACAGTCATAGGTAACTAGGGCCTCTGGACTCTGCTTAATATATCTCTGAGGACATTTGCTTCAGAACTGAAGACACTAGGTTCATGCATTCACTCGCTAACAGCTGATTTCTCTGAGGTTTGAGGTACCCTGCAATAAGTCTGCTGAGATGAGGAAGACAGCAATCCACTGACAGCAATCCTCCATAACTTCTCTCCTTGCTCTGTTCTAGGCGAGGGCTTCCACAACTACCACCATGCCTTCCCCTATGACTACTCTGCCAGTGAGTATCGCTGGCACATCAACTTTACCACATTCTTCATCGACTGCATGGCTGCCCTCGGTCTGGCTTATGACCGGAAGAAAGTATCCAAGGCCGCCGTCTTGGCCAGGATTAAAAGAACTGGAGATGGAAGCTACAAGAGTGGTTGAATTGGGTCATCTGTGTTTCTCTTCCAAAAGCCAGACTGTCAGAGGTGTAATGTGTTAATTAACTACTGAAAAATGCTATCAGGATGCTAAAGATGATATTAACCTGTTCCGATACAGTATTCTTTAAAATGGGAAAGTTTTGATAACTTTTTAAGGTAATACATATTTTAATTAGCCAGATTTAACCACACCACAATATATATACAAACATGTTGTACATGAAAAATACATGCAATTTTATGTTGATTTTTAAAAATAAATAATAATAAATTGGAACATTCTTTAAAAAGAGTATTGAAAGCCAACAACTATGCTCTTATTATGTTAAACAGATACACTTCTCTCTTCTCTTTGCACTGTACTTTGCACTGTTTCTGTCACCTTCCTTTCTCTTCTTCCTTAGAGCCTCCCAGGCAAACCGCTGGTCAGTCACTGATCTGCACCCACCTTGTAAAGTGTAGACAGCCTTTCTAAAGGTGATGCTCTTTCTCCATGTAACTGTTTGATGTGCCCTGAGCTCCAAGGTATGTCGCTCAAACTAGACATGAAACCTTCGGGGATGTCCCCTGCTATCTTCAAGCAGGCTTTGCTTGATGGAATGGAAAAATGTATCTGGCACATGACTTGAAAAGCAGGTAGATGATCAAGAAAAGGCTGCTCGTGGGATATGCTTTGTGGGTAAGGATGAGATAGAGATTGGAAGAGAGAAGAGGTCATTGGGCCCAGCTACCTGCCCAGCAATGCTGTGGAGCCCTCTGCACAGGGTGCCACCTTTCTCTCCTGACTATGCCGGGAGCTGGGGAATGTGCAGCACAACAGCAAGTCAGTAGCTAAAGATAAGGAAGAAGGATTTATTTGGTAGGAGAAGGGGTCTCTGTTGTGAAGTATTTTTATTAATAACGAGAAGAGTTCTGGAAGTCTTCAGGTTAGGTGTGACCAGAACAGGTGAGTAGTTAGCCCAGATTTCTGAGGATTCCATGAGTGGCTCATCTAATTCCTTTGACCTTTCTGCTCTCCGTGCTCAGGGTATTTGTTTTTCCCTCTCAGTACTAGGATTTCTATGGCATTTCTACACATCCAGAAATGGGAGGAATTTAACAGGTGGAATTGGGTCAAATGAAAATATTTAGACATAAAATCTTTCCTGGGAACATGAAAATAGTTAACATTTTCTTTTGAAAGAAAAGCTAAGGGAACTTGGAGAAGAGGAATTAGCTGCTTGTCTCTTCCTCCTATCACTAGGCAAGAGATAGACTGAGGGGCAGCCTTTGTAGCAGCTCCTTGGATAACTTTCCAAAGAGCTCTGAGAACACACCCAGGGGATTCAGAACTAAGTCCTTAGGTGTCCTAATGGGACAAGTTCAATGATACCTCTGTATATTAGTCCCACTTGCTGCAGATTGGATGCAAATTAGTCATGTCTCTAAGGTATTGCGCTCTTTCACTCATTTCTTGCCCTGTGACCATCAGCCTATATGTATGATTGCCAGGAGTAGGGCACGAGTCATTAATGCCCTGATTCTTGGTTCTCGGTTGTACTCCGTATGTCCCTTTTCTCTTATGATTGTCTTTGTTCCCTGGCCTTTGCTTCCTGCTGGATTTCAGGCAGCCCCCTTTCCTGCAGACACAGGCTCACAGGCTCTGAGCTTACGAGACTTGCTGGTGAAGGTGACTGCTACTTTCCTGTGGGCCTCTTGATTTCCCTGCATCTTCATTATGCCCAGCCTCCCTCATGGCTGCAGAAGCTTCCCAACAACTTGTACAAACATCAGTGACTCAGAGAGGCTCTCTAATGGAGCAAAGCCAGAGAGCTGGCCATGGCGCTTGTCACTCTCCTGTGGGTCTAAGCAGAATTCTGTTCCCTCAGCAATGTACCCCATTTGACCAGCACTTTCACTGTTGGTGTAATGGTTGTAAAAAGAGCAAGCCTTATAGGGAAGCACAAGAAGCGAGGGCAAGTTCCCAGGTGCCCCCCATTAACACCCTAACCCCCCTCCCCCGAGTCTCTGCAGCCAGGCTGTACTGCTGGTCTCTGACTGAGATATTGGATCTGAGATGCCTTGGACTTTGCTGAACATTATCTGTGTTTTGAAGACCTGGGATCTTTCCTGTTCCTGTACTGTAGGTGTCAATGCAAAAGCCTGACTCTGCTCTATAGAATTAGTAGTGCCAAGTGCCAAATGTTTTGTCTACCAAATGTTGATCCCCCATGGTGGGAGGGAGCAGGACCTTCTTGTGTCCACTGAATAGAGGCTGCAGCCACCAGCCTGCACTGGGGCAGCCTTGCCCTTGATCTGGTCATTAAAGTAGAAAAGTGTCTCATGGAAGATCGCTGTAGATTAGATCTGCTGACCTATGTGCTTACCCCTTGCCCATCACCTGTTAGGTGCTTTTAATTCTACAGATCATCAGATGCCTGCTTTATAATATATGGACAATAAAATCAACTTTTTCTTCTAATCCTATTCATGGATCTAATTCATGCCATGTCCCTACAAGAAAACTGGAGGGGCTGGAGATTCAGCTCAGCGCCACAGTGCCTGCCTGGCAAGCGTGAGGTCGTGAGTTTGATTCCCAGTACCAGAAAAAGAAAGAAAAGAAAAACAAAACTGGAGTTGGATACCACAGAATGAGAACCCAGCATACACTTGGATGTGTATGTAGGGGTGTGTCAATTCAGCAAGGAACACTTTTCAAGATTCTAAAGCTCAGTTCAAGTGGTACCTTCATGAGAAACTGTTCTTGAGAGTGAATTTCTAATAGACTTTACCATATGGATGTACTGACAACCTACTCAGTGCCTTACCTCTTTGCTAATCCATGCTGCATGTGAGCCTGGCCTCACTCCCTGAGTCCTTCCCACCTCAGAGCCGGCAGCAGTAGCCAGTGTCAGTAGGAGACTGGGTAGAGGATTATCAGTACAGCAAGTAGCAGGATTCTTTTCTGGGTTTCATTTTGGAAACTTTAGGGCTTTTTTACTAAGAGCACAAAATTCATGAAGGTTGGGAGTGATTTGAATGTGTGATTTATTATGAAATAACGGTGCTTAAAATGGAAAATTTTCTCCTTAGCTTGCAAATAATCCTGAGTGTATTCTCTGCAAGTGTAGCACATGGGTGACTATGAAAGGTAAACCAAGCATGTCACCATGTTAGACTGGTGGCTAAGCAAGCCTCTCCTACTACTAAGCTACCCACTTCTATCTGACCCTCCATTTTATAACATACTTCTTAGAAAAGGTCATTAATTTTTTCAAAACCCTTTTGAACTAGTCACCTCTTAAATGTCCCAACATTCAAACTATTGTGCTGGGGATGAACTTTCCAACTCATAAACCGGGGGACACTGAAATCTCTGCACTAGGCAAATCACTTAACTATAATGTGCCTACTTTTCCTTCTGTTACAATGGGGTAATCATACTGACCTACCTCAAAGAGCAGTTCTGGGGTGTGAATAAGCTTTTGTCAACCATTTTGGCATCCTTAGCAGAGGAACCATCCAGTCATAGACCTTTATAGTATCAGTGTCTACATGGTTCTTTCAAGAGATTCAGTACTTCCATTGGCAAAGTGGTGTGTAACAAAGACAAAATTTGAGAATACTTACTGCCGTGAAAACATATGCTGTATACTTTTTCCTTGCCTGGGTGGGACTTTCTTCCTTTTTATGTGAAATAGTCATTTGTAACCCAAAAATAAATTTTGAAATAATTTTCATTAATATCAATTCTGAAGCTAGTTGTACTGATCTGAGATTTTTTTTGTTCATAATAAAAGTGAAGTGAATCTGACTGCATTGTCTGGAAGCTTTTTGGCTGTGATATAGTCTCCTGGGATGTGTCTCTATGTTCCACTACCCTACATATGTCCTGTACCTTTAAGAGTAGAAACTAAAAGCTACAAGGGTTGAGCTTACCCCAGTAACCTGCCCTGCCTTCCAAGGGTAACTTTCGGTTAAACTAGGTAGCAGGAAAGCAGGGGCGGAGTCTGCCACTGTTAAATCAAACAGGTTCCCACCAGATGGCATCTTGGCATCTCAGCCTGGTAAATGCCAGGTTTTCCCACATGTCATGTGGTCACCTTGTCCCCAAATATAGATCCTGGGAGAGGCTGAGCAGCAGCAGAAGCACTGTGGAAAAGCAATTCTGTACTAGGCTACCCTGGTGGGTGTCCAGCCCCATCTGGAATGTCCTTGCCTAGAGGGAATAAAGGGCTTTCTGGGAATGCAGATGCTCAAAGCCTCTGGAAGAAGGAAACGGCCCAAGGGAAAGGTGGAAAGGTGGTGCTTTCTGGAGTACAGAGAACTATAGGATCACAAGGCGGAAAAGGGGACTTCAGGGGTTTTTTTTGTTTTTGTTTTTTTCTCAAAGTCCTTAGAGACTTTCCTGTGGGAAAGAAGAGCGGACTTTGTGCAGTTTGTAGAAGCTCCACATTCCAGCAGGAGCCTCCCTGATCAACACTGAGGCTTCTAAAGGTTCTGAGAACCAGCTCTGCCAGTTCACCTCCAGCTCATTTAAGGGTGTCCTCACCTGGGACAAGAAGCATGACTCTTCATGTCATTCTAAAGTAGGACTCTCAGCCTAATTCTGAGTATCCACAGTTAAAAGTTTATATACATTGAGGCTTTAAGTTGATGGAGCATTTCCCCATCAATTAATATCTGGCTTTCTATCTTTTGCCCCACTCCCTCCTTATTTTGTTTAAATTATTCAGGCCAGGATGTTTTTCATTTGCTCAAGAGCCCTTTTCCATCTGCTTTGTTTTTCATGAATTGGCTTGCTATTGATTGATTGATTGATTGATTGATTGCTATGTCACCCAGGCTAGCCTCAAACTCATGGTGATCCAAGGGCTGGGATCACAGGCGTGCACCACCACGCCTGGTTGCCCTCCAATTTAAAGTGTGTTCTCACTGCATTCTTCACTATTTCCTTCTTCCTATTCTATAGCTGATTGTCCTCCCTGTAAACACTCCTCTATGCTTCCTCCAGGAAATCTGCATTTTTAAATATTTATTTCACTTGAAGGCTGTTTTTTTACTCGTCTGCAAAAGTTCTGAAAGAAAAAAGGAAAGGGGAGAGACCTAAAGCGGAGAGAATTGAAGTAATGAAAAATGGGCATCCCTGTAGGGCAGGAGATTCCAGAGGCAAAACAGCGCTCTGCTTTTGACATGTTTTGTATGGGAAGAGGTAAAGAGATTAAGGTACGTTTTAGGCACCCAGATTTAACAATAGGGGCTGGAGATGTAGCTCAGTGGTACACCTGTCTGGAAAACATGAGGTTGTGAGTTCATTCCTGGTACCCAGCCCCCCATCAAAAAAAAAAGATTTAGGATAGGATAAAAGAATAGGATAAAAGAATAACACGTGGTCTATTATAATGAAATTTCTTATGCCTAGTGAAACCATATTTTCCCACTTCCCTAGAAAAACCTAGATAGGCCCCCAAATGTCCACTAGTCAGGAAAAGAAGGGGAAGTGGGTATGGAGGCATGTGCTTATAATCCCAGCATTCTGGCAGGCAGAGGCAGGAACCCAACCTGGACAGTTTAGCAAGACTCTGTCTCAAAACCAAAACCAAAACAAACAAACAAAAAGTGACAGGAACCTAGATCAGAAGGAAGTAAAACTGTATCTATTTGCAAATGGCATGACTTGTGTACAGCAAATATACAAGGACATACACACTAAAGGACACACGCATGTACTTCTTAATTTTAATTTTTTGCAGTATTGGGGGTTGAACCCAGGTATACTCTATCACTGAGCTACATTCGCAGCCCTTTTTATTTTTATTTGAGACAGGTTCTGGTTAAACTGGTATAGCTGTTCTCAAATTTGAAATCTTCCTGCCTCAGTCTCCTGAATAGCTGGGATTACAGGTGTGTGTCACAACTTTTACAAAGCTAATATCTGAGTTTAAGGTTGCAAGATATAATAAACATAGACAAAAATCAATTGCATCTCAATAGACTAGCAATGAATAAACTAGAAATAAAATTTAGGAAAAACTTCCACTTAAAACAGCATCAAAAAATAAATAGAAATAAATTTAACAAAAGAAGTACATAGTATTTTACAGTGAAAACTATAAAACACTATGGAAAACAATTAAAGGAGGTCTAAATAAATGCAAAAAATCCCTTGGTTATGGACTGCAAAGCAGCATTGTTAAGATGGTAATATTCTTTAAACTGGTCTATACATCAAGGCAATTGTTATCAAAGTCTGACTCCTTTTTATCTTATTTTTTTGAGGCAGGGTCTCATTGTATAGTTCAGTTCAGGCTGGCCTTGAATACATTATGTAGCCCATGCTGGCCTTCAATTCATGGCGATCCTCTTGCCTCAGCTTCCTGAATGTTGGGATCGCAAGCATGCACCACTATACCTGGTTGACTCCTTTTTAAAGAGGAGTTAACAAGATGATTTAAAAATTCATAAGGAGAGTTGACTGTGGTGGTGCACACCTGTAATCCCAGCACTCTTGAGGCCAAAGTGGGAGGACCAAGAACTGCTGTGAGTTTGAGCTATATAGTGAGTCCAAGACCAGCCTGAGCTATATAGTGAGTCCAAGACCAGCCTGAGCTATATAGTGAGTTCAAGACCAGCCTGACCTACATTTTAGGTAGGGTGAGACTCTACCTAAAAAAAGAGAAAAAAGAAAATTGGAGGTCTCTCACTTTCTGATTTCAAAATTACTTAACAGGTGGATTGGTATGATGGTGTATGCCTATAATTTCAGCACCTGGGAGGTTAAATTCAAGGGAAGCCTGGAATATATAGCAAGACTTGGCGAAAAAAAACGAAACAAACAAACAGAAAAACCCCCAAAACAACAAAAAAAAGTTACTTCAAGGGTCAATAAATAACAGACATATTGATTAATGGAATGGAATTGAGGGTTAACTGATTTTTGACAAGAGTAACTAGACAATTCAATAAGGAAAGAATAGTTTTCTCAATGAAGGTTGTTGGACAACTAGATATCTACATGCAAAGGAATGCTGGTCTGCTACCTCATACCATATACAAATATTAATCCAAACTGAAGCAGCTAATGCTATAAAGCCTTTTGGAGAAAAGACAGGTTTAAATCTCAATCATCTTGGATTAGGCAATGGCTTCTTAAAAACATAAAACGAAGGCAACACAAACAGCTGGGACTTCAAAAGAACTTTTGTGCTCCCACAGATGCTACTGAGAAAGTTAAAAGGCAAATAAGGGGCTGGGGATTTAGCTCAGCGGCACAGCACCTGCCTGGCAAGTGCAAGGTCGTCAGTTCGATTTCCGGTACCGGAAAAAGAAAAATAAAAACAAAAGGCAAATAAATCATAGAATGGAAGAAAATATGAAAGGATCACTTAGCCGTGTGCTTCTTTTTTTGTACTGGGAATTGAACTCAGGACCTTATGCTTGCCAGGAAGGCGCCTGTGCCACTGAGCTATATCCCAGGCCCGGTGCATGCTTTTTAATCCCATCATCAGGAGGCTGCAGGAGGATAGCAGTAATCAAGGCCAGCCTGGGATACACAGTGAAACTCTGTTTCAAAAAACAAAACAAATATATAATAAACACAACTCAATAATAAAAAGACAGCCCAATTATGAATTAGAAAAGTATTTGAATATATATATACACATATATATATATATA